CTCGGGCAGTCTAACCACACCGATCTTGGTGAGATTAGATAATATAGGACAGAGGAAATATCTAGAGTTTGATAGACCCCAGATTTCTCAAAAAAGAATATATGACAATGCCCATTAAAGTTATAGGGGGTATTTGCATTCCCTGTGATAGCATTAAAAGTGAAAAAGAAAAAAAAATTTATTTAAAGGGACCGTGTAAAAATAATAAACAAAATCAAAATAACTTTAAAAAAAAAAGCACCCTCGCCCCCCTGTGTGCGCAAGCGTTGACTCTGTGCCAATATTTAAACAGAGGTTGCACCATACATGTGAGGTATCACCATGAACTTTGTGTACAAAAAAAAAAAATTTTTTGTCATTTTCCAAAAACTTGTGGAAAAAAAATAAATCTTCCATGGACTCAATATGCCTCTCAGCATATAGCTTATGGTGTCTACTTTCCGAAAAGGGGTCATTTTGGGGTGTTTGTACTGTCCTGGTATTTTAGCACCTCAAGAAATGTGATGGGCAGTCAGAAAGTAAAAGCTGTGTAAATTCCATAATCTATACCATAGATTATTGACGCTATAACGTTTACACAAAGCAATCAAACACTTATTTCCTTCACTGTATATATGTGTGTGTGTATATATAAATATATGTGTGTGTGTTTAAAAAAATATTGTTTTTCTTCAAAATTTTCTGTCTTTTTTTTGTTTATAGCGTGAAAAATAAAAAGAGCATGGGTGATCAAAAACCACCTAAAGAAAGCTCTATTTGTGTGAAAAAAAGACATAAATTTCATTTGGTACAGTATTGCATGATTGCTCAATTACCAGTTGAAATAGTGCAGCGCCGAATAGCAAAAAGAGGCCTGGTCAGGAAGGGGGGTAAATGCTCAGGAGGGCAAGTGGCTAATAATGCTGAAAACATTTCTGGGATAGTTATCATCTGCCGCTATACATTGCATGACACCATGGTGTTGGAGTAAGGCAACTGAGTTGGCCTTGTGGGTATGAATGATGGGATGATTTCTCTGTACTTGTTTGAACTGATAAATCCACTTAGCGATGAAATGTTTTCAACATTACTAAGCAAATCCAATTGCATACTACTGTTGATCAAAAGTCATTTAACTTCTGAACTTTACACATAATCTTTTTTTTTTTTTCTTTCTTTTTTTTTTTTAATTGAGTCATTGTCTGTCCATATTGCATAAAGTACTTACGCACACATAGGTTGTATTTGACGGAAATCCTGGGGCTTCCATTTGCTTAATGACGTCAAGTGAACCTGTGGGTAACTTTGCAATAGCACACAGGGGAATCAAAGCTCTCAGAAGGATTAATTATTACAGGGACGTTCTTTTATTTTTATAACCGCTTCCAGCTGCATCATCACTGGAGAACAAGAGAATATCTTGGTCATTGTGGTCCCCTACACCGCCTGATCTTTTCTGTTTTGACACCGGCTTTGCATACATCTAAAAGCCACAGACATGTGTTTCACAGGTAGCAACTATCAGTCTTTTTCAGAAAAAGCTTTTTTCTTTAGTGTATCTAAATTCCAAAAATTTTATATATTGCAGCTAATTGGTCCTTAGATGCGATAACTGTATTTGTTTTTTCTTCAGGTTTTTTTTTTACCTGTGCTGAACCAGCTGAATTTCGATCAGTGTATACCCACCTTTAGTGCAAGGATGGATATCTCCTAGTCCACCAACTGTGGAATTAAGTCTGTCTTTGTTAGACTCTGTGTGGTTTAAAGCATCATGAAGTTGTTGTAATGCTAAAAAGTCCCACTTTATACATTTTATGGAAGAAAAGTTTAGTAATGGTTTGGCATTTCCAAGTATGAATTTCCAGTGTATCTTCACATTAAAGAGATGCAAATACATAAAACCAGCCTTATTACACCTTGGAAAATTGTGCACAATTATGCTTGCCATACATGGTTAGCTGTTATTTTTCAATCAGCCAGTTGGCCAAACAAAAGAAGGTAACCGTGTCATCCGTCCACAAAAGGGCTGTGGATAGAAGAATCCCTCCTGCTGGGATATTGTATCCTGACAGCAGCTCCGGCAGCTGTCAGAATACATTGATCGGTGACTGCAGCTGCTGATCAAGAACATTTTCCAACATGTCCCTTCACCAGAAGTTGATCAAATGATCGAATTCTGATGAGAGGGGACAGCTCGCACTGGTTGAGCTTTAATCAGTGTGTTGTCATCTTAAGGTGCCTTTTTTCACTGAGATTTATTGTAAGAGTACACTTCATCAACCTTGGTGTAAGGGGAAACATTTAACTGAAGACTACAATTTTCATTGTTTACATTTTTTTCCTGCAATTATTTTCATTATCAATTTCATTACATTATTATTATTGACAATTTTCTCATATAAAGCAGCCCTGTGTCTAAACTATACAATGTATGTCACATTCTTTATTTTATTTGTATTTATCTTGTATCTACAATCTACTTTTCACACAAATTTACAAATTACACAAATTTGATCTGGTAGATATCAGGGGATTCCTTTAGATCTAACAGTTATTTCAAGGTTTACACTATGTTAAAAAGGTTGAGAGAGGCTGCACTAAAGTGATGATACATTTCTTTAACATACATCACGGGACACAGAGCAGGCTATTCATGACTGTGGGTTATATGCCACCTATAAGTTAATAGACACTGGTCTACCAATTAGAGAGGAGGTCCTCCCCTATATAACCAGTGTCTTTAAGGTGGATGGTCACTGAAAGTGTTGCTTTTGCTCCTGGAGCACACCTGAAGGTCCAGAACAAATCTATTAGAGAATCATGGACTTTAATCAGATCCATTTGGAAAGCTGTTAGCTAAATAGATGGTACCTGAGCCTCGCTGGATAAGGAGAAGAATCCTCGGGGTTTTGTCTGTAATGCCGCCTTACGGTACTGGACCCTGCATGATGGAATCCTGTGCAGTATAATACTGACCAAGGTGATTTCCGGGGGGGGTTGCTATACGGGGCAGTGGCCCCACATTATGGGGACCGGGCCCCTGAAGGGCTGTATGACAGTGCCTGTCGTGATGGGCGAAGGCTGGTGTCTGGGGAAGTCAAGGACCTGTGGTGGGACTGGTAAGATATCTCCTTTTTTTTTTTTTTTTTTTTCCTCTCTGTAAAAAAACAAAGCTGAAATTTGGAGGCAAAAGGAGAGTTATTGTTTGTTTGACCAGTTTCCACCAGGGGGAGTGCTCACAGCATTTTAGCCTGGGACATGCTTGCCTGTTTTTGTTGGGTCCACTAGATGGAGCATTCTGGTCCCTAGGAGTGTGGCTGTCAATTGGCCACAGGGCATGCATTTAGCGGGCGTTTGCACGCACAGTAGTGGCTGGAAACGGAAGTTGGCGATATTTACCTATTAGCAGGCCTGCGCATACGTGGACTGCTGCTGGTGGATTCCTGTGGCTGGGACACAGAGCAAGCTATTTAGTGGAGCATGCGAGTACTCTCCTGACGGGGAAGGAGTGTTGGCCAGTCAGTCAGGCTCCACCTTTGGTGGCCCGTAAGGTCAGAAATTTGCATTGAGTGTTTTCTTCAGCACACTACCTGAATAGCTGTATCTTGTGGTCTGTGTTTACTATTGGAGGTCCACAGGTTTTTACGCTATCTGAAGTAATCTCTTCCAGAAAGCATAGTGTTGGAGGCACTGCAGAAAGGGGCCCTGATGTGCTGCCACCAGTTCCTGAGGATCCTATCCGAATTTCCGCTGTAATATCCTCTCCTGAGAGGCCAGTAGCTACTGGGCAGTCTGAGCCACTGCGTTTATCTGGCATTAAGGCTACTACTGGGGCATCTGCCTTGGCATATGTAACCAAGGATGATCTTGCTTCAGCCTTAGCAGGTTTAGATGATAAGATTGCAGGGATTATTGCATTGGTTTCTCAGAGATCCCATCACTAGAACCACCAATCCTGGAGCAGGAATGGGTGGAACCTAAGGATGAGGAAGAACTGGAGGAAGGTCAGGCAGTAGAGCCTCTGTCTGAGGGGTCATAGCCTGAGGAAAAGCAGGCGGTCTCTGCCTCCCAATCTCAGAAGTTTAGTCCAGGACCTCACAGATATGGTACAATCTGGATTCAGGCTACCTCCGATAAAAACCTCTGAGGTTACTTACTCTTCTCTGGGCTCTTTGGAGCCTCCACAGAGTACTCAGGCCTTTCCAGTGCATCCTCTTCTGGAGCAAATTATGCAAGAGGGGCCTAGGAAGGGGCAGGCAGCATCCAAGGCGACTATTTCACGTTGGATTTGCCAATTGATCATTCAAGCCTATGGTTTGAAAGGGAAGGCACTCAGGTGAAGGCACACTCTACCAGGAGTGTGGGGGCACCTTGGGCAATCCGCCATCAGGCATCAGTGGCTCAGGTTTGCAAGGCCGCTACATGGTGTTCGGTTCACACATTCACAAGGTTCTACCAGGTGGTTTGCAGAGCCGCAGAGGATTTTGCTTTTGGCCGCAGTGTTTTATGGACTGCTGAGTAGGTCCTGAGGGATTATTGATGGAGGCTATCATGGTGCTACCCTCTCCCTCAAATTTCTTTATTGCTTTAGTACATCCCACATAGTCATGAATAGCCTACTCTGTGCCCTGTGATGTATGATTACAAAAACTGGATTTTTTCTTAATACTTGCCTGTAAAATCCATTTCTTAAAGTACATCACAGGGCACAGAGGTCCCTTCCCTCTTTCTGGAATTTCATTGCTTGCTACAATAACTGAAGCACTTCGTGTATAGGAGGGGTTATATAGGGGAGGACCTACTCTCTGATTGGTCGGCCAGTGTCCATGCACCTATAGGTGGCATATAACCCACATAGTCATGAATAGCCTGCTCTGTGTCCTGTGATGTATTCCAAGAAATGGATTTTACAAGTAAGTATGTAAAAAAAAAAAAAAAAAAATTCTTTTTTTTTTTTTTTTTTTTTTAGCTGTACCAAAAAAACACAATCCTCTTAATAGTAGGTATTTTCTGTTTTACAGGTCAAATGGGAAAAAGAAACTAAAGAAGAGGGGACACCAATGACCAAATATTATACCAACTGGAAGAAACTGCGGGAGAAAGAGATTCAGCTAGAGATCTCTGGCAAGGAGAGGGTAAGAGTGCATAGTAATACTTATACTGTCAAATCAGGCACTGACCATAGAGCATGCAGTGGTAATTTTGAGCAAGGGTTTGCGTGTACAGTTGTGTTCAAAATAATAGCAGTGTGTTGAAAAAAGTGAATAAAGCTCAAAATCCTTCTAAAAGCTTATATTTCCATACACACAAATGCATTGGGAACATTACACAATTCTATTCCAAATCAAAACATGAAGAAAAATATATCAAATTTGTGTTGTTCCTCTAAACAAAATTGAAGAAAAGTGTATATTAGACTGTTCAAAAAATAGCAGTGTTTGTATTCTTCTTTACAAACTCAAACATTCACTATATAAACTGAAAAATATTTGAAGATTTTGCTTTCCTTTGAATCACTTAATTAATATTTAGTTGTATAAGCACTGTTTCTGAGAACTGCTGTACATCTGTGTTGCATGGAGTCAACCAACTTCTGGCACATGTGAACAGGTATTCCAGCCCAGGATGATTGGACTACATTCCACAGTTCTTTTCTATTTCTTGGTTTTGCCTCAGAAACTGCATTTTTGATGTCACCCCACAAGTTTTCTATTGGATTAAGATCCGGGGATTGGGCTGGCCACTCCATAACATCAATCTTGTTGGTCTGGAACCAAGATGTTGCACGTTTACTGGTGTGTTTGGGGTCGTTATCTTGTTGGAACACCCATTTCAAGGGCATTTCCTCTTCAAGTATTCTGATGTATTCAAACTGATCCATGATCCCTGGTATGCGATAAATAGTCCCAACACCGTAGTATGAGAAACATCCCCATATCATGATGCTTGCACAACCATGCTCCACTGTCTTCACAGTGTACTGTGGCTTGAATTCAGTGTTTGGGGGTCGTCTGACAAACTGTCTCCGGCCACTAGACCCAAAAAGAACAATCTTACTTTCATCAGTCCACAAAATATTGCGCCAGTCAATCTGCTCTTTGGCAAATTGTAACCTCTTCAGCACATATCTTTTTTTCAACAGATGGACTTTTCGGGGGCTTCTTGCAGATAGCTTGGCTTCACATAGGCATCTTCTAATTGTAACAGTACTCACAAGTAACTTTAGACTTTCTTTGATCTTCCTGGAGCTGATTGTTGGCTGAGTCCTTGCCATTTTGGCTATTCTTCTATCCATTCGAATGGTAGTTTTTCGCTTTCTTCCACGTCTTTCAGGTTTTGGTTGCCACTTTAAAGCATTTGTGATCATTTTAGCTGAGCAGCCTATCGTTTTCTGCACTTCTTTCTATGTTTTCCCCTCTCCAATCAACTTTTTAATCAAGGTACGCTGTTCTTCTGAACAATGTCTGGAACGACCCATTTTCCTCAGAATTTCAGAGAGAAATGCACTGTAACCAGCATGTAGAACATTTGCTGCCTTCCTTCCTTAAATAAGGGCAATAATTGCCACCTGTTTTTCAAAGAATGAATGACCTCACTAATAAACTCCACACTGCTATTATTTTGAACATGCCCCTTTCAATTAGAGATTCAATTACACAGAATTAGCAGCATGCATGTCATGACTGTTGGGTCTGTTGGATTTCTATTACTCTACTACACCTGCTAGTAAATTATTTGCCATGTAGAAATATCATTTCTACCCCAAAAAACGGTGATTGATCAGGTTAGTGATGTCTGACTGCTACTATTTTGAACACAACTGTATATAGCGCTGTGAATTTATGCAGCGGTATGTGTGTGTGTGTGTGTATATATATATAACATTCACATCAGTCCCTAACCCTCAAGGGGTGTACAATCTAAGGTTCCTAACTTACATTCATACATACACATACTAGGACCAATTTAGACAGGATCCAATTAACCTACCAGCATGTCTTTGAATTGTGGGAGGAAACCAGAGTACCCAGAGGAAACCCATGCAGGTACAGGGAGAACATGCAATCTCCAAGCAGGTAGTGCTGTGGTGGGGATTCGAACCAACTACCCTAGCACTGCTAGGCTGAAGTTCTAACCATTTAGCCACTGTGCTGCCCATAAACTTTTATATTAATGCCCTGCCTATATATCCGGCATACATGGGAGTGGGAAGACACACACATTTATTTTTTTTGGCTGGTCTAGAGTTGGGCTTTAAGTGATAACACTTTTGTTAATCATGCAGTACTTAAAGTGGTAGTAAACTCAGATGTCTGACTTGCACCTACAGGTTAGCTTATAATAAAGCTTTACCTGTAAGTACAGCGAATATCTCCTAAATGTGCACCATTTAGGAGATGTTTACATCGACACCAGTCGATTGTCACTACGCATGCACAATGAGCTCTACATTCAGGGCACTCTGAGCGTGCCATCAATATTACTCCAGTGCGCATTTGCGGAAGTGATGTCATTGCGGCCTGGCCATTTAACCGTCTGGAGAATGTGAACCTGAAAGGAATACCAGGAGAAGATGGAAGCACCTGCAGCATAGACACGGTCCCAGTTGAGGGCCCTAATATGCGGTGCATTCAAGCACATTATGGTATTAACCTGCAGGAAGCCTGGTTATTTTTTTCCCCACAATTTTACTATCTCTTTAAGTAAATTTAAAGAGGAATGTCACTCCCCTTTCACTTGGCTCTGCCCCATGTGGCCTAGGGGTCTTGGCAAAGCCCTTCAACACATCTGCATTATGTGCAGGAGATTTGCGCATGCTTGGGGGAAAGCCCTGCAACATATCTGCATAGGTAAAGAAAACCTGGGAGGTTTAGGTGGTGATGCAAATATCATTTTCACGCACAAAAAAATCATTTGAATTAAAAAAAAAAAAAAAAAAAAAAAAAAAAAAGTCAATATCCAAACATGAGAGAGGAAGGGGGGGGGGGGGGGGAGGTGAGAAAATATTTTAAGGTGCAGGTCGCTTTAAAATACATTTCCGCCTCAGGTAAGCTTTAAAAAGGTCATGTAATTTCAGAAGTTGTTTTTAATCTCTTGAAATCTGCAGTTTTCATTGATACTATACCTGATATTTCTGCCATGAAGGTCCTTGTTTAGACTTACTGTTTTGGGATGACCCACTCACAGACTTCCCTGGTAGAGACTACTTGTGGTTGTGCTGACACACTGCTCAGGTATGGTCCACCGTTGTCACATCAGGCAGTCCATTCTATGCAGTGATATGGAGCCGACATTTAAGTGTGTGCATGTAGATGGTAAATTACTACAAAAATGTCTGGAGGAAATCGGCAGCACTGAGGTTACAGAAGTAACAAAAAAGTGATGACTGTTATTTTATACACAGTATTTTTAGCAAACTGAATGTCATCTACTTTAACTAAACTAAAATCATCTCAGATTGTCTTTATTTTACATTTATTATTATTATTATTATTATTATTACACAGAATTTATATAGCACCAACAGTTTGCTCAGCGCTTTACATTTAGGCCCCTTTCACACGAGTGGTCCAACAGGTGTACCTGTCAGTTTATCAGGCTGATCTGATTGGTAGCTCCATGTTAGTCTGTCAGCGGCTGGATGTAAACAGAGTTGCATCCGTTTACATCCAATTATGGTACTTCTGAGTTTATCCAGGTCTAAAAAACAATTTGAAAATTCTGTGGTTTTTTTTTTTTTTTTTTCGGCCTTAAACGTGACTGGAGGTAATCAGATGTATACTTATGCAAGTCTATTTACATCCAGCAGTCTGTAGATCAACTATGGGTCCAGAGATCTCCACTTTTTAAATGCAGCAAAAAAATGAATGAACACGCATGTCACAGAAGTGACATCTGTTCCTTTCTGCTCCAATTCATCAGGGGATCTGTTCACTGATCCCTTGTTGATTTGACTGGTTATAGCCCATGTAAAAGGGGCCTTTCTCATGTTAGTATGATTTAACCACTGCTATTATTTGAAATTTGTATAGGACTGAATAGATTTGTTTTATTAGTATAATTTTGTAAAATTCTTTTCTACCTCTCATATATTTTACCTACTTTTACTTACCGTTTTTTTTAGTATGGTGTCATGTTAGTATCTATCTTTGTACAATTAGTTACATTGACATGCTTATCTGTTTGCGTGAAATAAGTGAAAGTAGACTCTAGCCATAAATGTAACAATGCCACCTATTACAGTGAGAAAATGTATGTATGCAATATTTTGTGTGTGTATGTGTGTATGTGTGTGTTATATATATATATATATATATATTATACAGTCATGGCCGAAATTGTTGGCACCCTGATATTTTTCCTGAAAATCAAGTATTTCACACAAAAAAAAGGTAATTGCATTAACACATGTTTTGCTATACAATGTTTATTCCCTTTGTATTATTGGAACAAATATAAAACAGAGGCAGAAAAGCAAATATGACATAATGTCACACAAAACCCCAAAAATGGGCTGGACAAAAGTATTGGCACCCTTAACTTAATATTTGGTTGCACACCCTTTGGAAAACATGAAATCAGTCGCGCTTCCTATAACCATCAATAAGCTTCTGACACCTCTCACCCGGAATTTTGGACCACTCTTCCTTTGCAAACAGCTCCAGGTCTCTCTTATTGGAAGGACACCTTTTCCCAACAGCAATTTTAAGATCTCTCCACAGGTGTTCAATGGGATTTAGATTTGGGCTCATTGCTGTTCAGAACTCTCCAGCGCTTCTTTGCCATCCATTTCTGAGTGCTTTTTGACGTATGTTTGGGGTCATTGTCCTGCTGGAAGACCCAGGATCTTGGACGCAAACCCAGCTTTCTGACACTGGGCCCTACAGTGCGACCCAAAATCCTTTGTAATCCTCAGATTTCATGATGCCTTGCACACAGTCAAGGCACCCAGTGCCAGAGGCAGCAAAACAACCCCAAAAACATCATTGAACCTCCACCATATTTTACCGTAGGGTACTGTGTTTTGTTCTTTGTAGGCCTCATTCCGTTTTCGGTAAACAGTAGAATGATGTGCTTTACCGAAAAGCTCTATCTTGGTCTCAATCTGTCCACAAGACGTTTTCCCAGAAGGCTT